GTGCCAAAAGTGTAAGCGCGGAAAAATGGAAGTCAGAAGCATGCAGATCATATTTATTTTGCGTTAGCATAAAGCTGCAGTTTCACAATACATGAATTACACTTACGAGCAACAGTACATTTCTGCAAATAATTTTTTCTTACGCTTGAAACGCGATTTACACCTTTACAAAGCTTCTGTTGCGCATGCAAATTTAATTTACGCTTACAGTCTTATGTACACTTCCACAACTCTTACCCTGCGTATGCAAATCTTTTAGGCATTATTTTACCTTCATAGTATACCTTCTAAAGTAGTTAAAACGTTGGACAAATTACCTTTCGACTTTATTTGGAAAAGAAAACCACATTATTTGAAAAAAGAGATATTATGCAATTTAATGGACAATGGGGGCCCGGGGCCCATTCTTCGTACCTTGCTTAATACATCTGAGATGATTTGAAAGATGCCAGATCTAGTAATCGTGATAACTGATCTCTGGCTAATTTGGTTCTTCAAACGAATTTGCGGATTTGATGAAAATATCTGGATAAAGTTGTGTAAGATTAGTGCGTGTTCTCGTGGTCCCCGTAAAGCGCAGATGTATGGATACTCGAGACCACGATCAGCAGTGCAGCGATTGGCTGCGGCAAGACAGCAACGTGATGACATCATATAATTAAAAAAGACACCTGACGAAAAGCTTGACAAATTTCTGGACTTTTATAAGGAAACAGCCAAGCGAACAAAACTACATAAATGTTATAATAGATAGTTTTTATTTTATTTTTTTACATGATTCCCAATTATTTATATTCACGATTACTAGTATTTGTACAGGCTTTACATTTAGTTCAATGTTGTAATTAGCAATTCATGTAATTTTATCTTTGAAGCAGATTTGTTATGTGACAGCATTAACTAAAGTTTCTTAAGGCTCAAGATCATGTTATCTGCATCTCCTGCGCTCCATCCCATAATATCTGTCAGCACTCAAATTAATGCACGACTCAGATTATCTATATGTGTGTAAGACTCGAATACAATGAGTAAAACTGGCTGTGTCTTATAGATTACACATTATAATATTCTTTTCAAATAAATGTTAAAATTATTATTATTTTAAATGATTGATTAGTAGGGTACACTTGTAATAGAGTAGCAGTGGCTGGGATAGATTTTAAATATCAGTTCCACTTAAAAAGATGCGATCTAATCCTGTTTACATGAAATAAGCTGCTCGCGAGCAGGTTTAATCTTACGGAGCTGTTGCTATGACAGCAACTCCAGGATGAGCTTCGAAGAACCAAACTATCCAAGATCAAGCCAAATCACCAACAATCACATCCAGCTGACTGAGTTAGTAAAACTTGCAAGATTTCATCAACTAGCTCTCATGGCTTGGACATTGGCCTACAAACATACATTTTCCCCTAGAAGATATTATATTTGGAATAACAGAGACATTTTATATAAACATAAGTCCCTTTTTTTAAGAAGACATAATACTTTACTAGGTAAAGCATCCATTACAGTTGCATGTTCTCTGGGTCTAACTGGGATTTTAAATTTGTCAAGAAACTCTGTGTATGATAATAAGCCTCCATCACTATTCATCAACTGAAACCAAAATATATTATTTAAATGAATGCAGTAAAAACCCTAATCTGGACTATATAACTAATAACATTTTTATTGGAAATATTACTATTTTAAAAAATAACATACCAAATAAATACATTAGAAATGTAGTAAATGATGTTGCATATCCTCCAGCTGGATTTTTCTGGTCATCAATATTTGGAGATTTAAATTGGCGTAAGGCTTGGAGAATGGTTGATCAATTCTTTGTTAATAACAAAGTAAAGGAAGTTTCGTATAAAATATTGCATAGAATTTATCCGGTGAAACATATATTGGAACGTTTTAAATTGAATATTGACTGTTCTTGTGAATTTTGTAGTAATGAAAAAGAAACTCTTTTTCATTTATTTTTTCATTGCATCTATACAAAGATATTTTGGGTTGATGTTGAGAATTTCATTACAAGAAAACTTAATACAGCTGTTAAACTGGGTGGGTCTGATATAATGATATATGTTGATGATTATGGGATAGAAAAGGATAAAGCGTATATTATTCAATTACTGGTTGTAATGGGGAAGTTTCATATACACAAAATGAAGTGGTCGGGTGGAAAACCAATATGGGGATAGAGTAGGCAGGAAGTTAGAGGTTGTTATTTTGTTTTGGCATATGCTCCTTCCTGAAGTCATTTTAATCCTTAAAGTCATTAATTTGTGAAATCATTTATCATATGTTTTGAAATCATGCTGCTAAATAAATCAAATGTAAAAAGTGATTATTTTTGGGAACGAAAAGGAAATGTTAAAGGTTTTAAGCAGGTCATTGTCCGTGTTACGAGGCAATGCAACCAGACAAAGGGGACGATAAAGAAAGATTACTTATTTTCATCATTTAAATTCATTATCAGTATATCATTTGTTTGTTCTTAAACACTGGAAAAATCATCAAAGTATGTAAAGAAGAAAGGATCGACGAGCACCTCAGTGCTTAGCAACACGAGTAGATTCAACTGGAGGTTTAAAAACCCACCATCTACTCCAACACCAGATAGCGCTGGAGGGCAAGGGAGCTTGCCTGAGAGCTCCTCTGGCAACGAAGGACAGCAGCACCAGACAGCGCTCCAAGCTACCGGCAATGCTTGGAGTTCCTCTGGCTACGAGGGACAGACCAGTGCATCATGTATTACATCATTTTGTTTTAATCAGTTAACTAATCATTTATATACACTACATAACCATGACAACCATGGGCAAGGCTTGGACATCTCATGAGCACATGCATTGACACATATTATTGATTTTTTGACCCCCAAGAATGTATAGATAGGGAAGTGGATTCTTTTACTCTTCTCTGGTCAATAGTGAGGAGAGATGTTTGGATTCGACTTCCTCTGAAGTGCAGCAGCATAAAGAAACCATTTGGTAAAAAGTAATGGTGGACCTTTATTGGTTCATAGAAGGATAGAAGGATGGGTGGATTTATGGTGTTGCACTCTAGGCAAAGGGTTTAGCGGTGAGGCTTGGTGAAGCCTCAGAGGGGGGAATATATTGTGTAATTTTATTGAAGTATTATGTGAAAATGAAAGTAATCAATATATAAATTAATATGCTGAATTATGTTAACCCTGGATGTCATAGAACGAATAATAGTCTTTTCATTAGACAGTAAACCTTTCATTAGACAGTACACCTGTGAACTTGAAATAATCTAATATTATCAGGAGCAGGTGGATGGATTTGACGCACACCTCCTCATGTGACCACTACCAACCAATGAAATAAAAAGCTTTTTTAAAAAAATGGCTGATCGGACCACATTCCACCATTAAAAAACAAGGCCAAAAGGTTTGGAAACAATTGTGGCAAATCAGGCCAATAAAAATTAACCGGAACAAAGAAAAAACAGAAAATGACCAAATTTGGAGAGAACAAGGGGTATATAATATAAGCTGACAAACAGAGACTTTGGAATGATTTGGAATGCTGTGACTGTCTTCCCGGCTTTGTTTCTTTGTTAAATAAAGTCTTATTTTTTGACATCTGGAACTCTGCTTCTCCACTTCATTGGCCGCACCCAAGAAAATTCCACAACACTGGCTGTAATGGGGAAGTTTCATATACATAAAATGACTTTTTTTTTCATTTTATCAACGGATTTAAACAATACTGCAATATGGTATATATAAATGAAAAAAAAAAGCTCTCAGGACTTCTAATATTATCTGCAAATTTGAAATAGACAAGTGTACCAACTGTACCGTCTTCATTATTTGTGTTTTTTTCTCTCTCTCTTTATTCCTCCGGCGAAATTTTTTTTATTTTTTTATTTTACTTTTATTTAATAATGTGTACTGATGGCATTTATATGCAACGTTGTAATGCTCTTGTTGTTATATAGCCTATGTTCATATGCAAAAAAAAAACGGGCGTTTTGGACATTCGCAACCACCCTACCTACGTCATCGTGTCGTAGCGCGTTGCGTGGGCTAGCTGTAGCATCGTTAGCCGTGTAGCGGGGCTGGTGTAGAGGGTGTCGGAGGATTCCCGAAATATCGACGCAGATCGACATTCATGAGAGGATTTTATTAATGGTGAGTGAATGTTTTATTATGCACAATGAGCGCGCTGTGTAACGCGGAGTTTATGGCATATATAGCGCGATGAATGTGTGAATGTGATTGAGTGAACGACAGATAAACAGATCAACAGAGAGATATACTATTTATAAAGTCCTGCTTTAATCTGTTAACCCCAGTGTTATGATGTAAGTAATAATGATATATAGTAATAATAATAATAATAATAATTCAGGAGTAACGAATAAGGCCTGTTTGATTTATTAAATCACCATTTGATCAAATACATCATATACGTTAGGTTATCAGCTTTTATGTAAAATGTCTTAAATGTATCGGCTTTCAAATGTTTTTAAGTCAATCTTTAATAAAGCAACAAGGACATTCGCAACCACCCTACCTACGTCATCGTGTCGTAGCGCGTTGCGTGGGCTAGCTGTAGCATCGTTAGCCGTGTAGCGGGGCTGGTGTAGAGGGTGTCGGAGGATTCCCGAAATATCGACGCAGATCGACATTCATGAGAGGATTTTATTAATGGTGAGTGAATGTTTTATTATGCACAATGAGCGCGCCGCGTAACGCGGAGTTTATGGCATATATAGCGCGATGAATGTGTGAATGTGATTGAGTGAACGACAGATAAACAGATCAACAGAGAGATCTACTATTTATAAAGTCCTGCTTTAATCTGTTAACCCCAGTGTTATGATGTAAGTAATAATGATATATAGTAATAATAATAATAATAATAATAATTCAGGAGTAACGAATAAGGCCTGTTTGATGTATTAAATCACCATTTGATCAAATACATCATATACGTTAGGTTATCAGCTTTTATGTAAAATGTCTTAAATGTATCGGCTTTCAAATGTTTTTAAGTCAATCTTTAATAAAGCAACAAATAAAATGGTATTAAACCACTGTTCGAATGAAATACATTTAGTAAATTAGTTAATAAAACATATAAAATATGTTAAAATAAATGTTAAGTGTTTAAAATACAAAAATAATTTGTTAAATCTATTTCTCTTTAATTATTATTATTATTAGTAGTAGTTTGTATTATTTGTATTATTAGTATTTGTATTATTCATGAATCATGAATAAAGCCTGTTTGATTTATTAAATTACCGTTTGATCAAATATATCATAAATCAGTTAAGTCAGATGATATACGTCATGTATATTTATGTAACTTTTTTCCATATCATACGCTATCAATATTTATCATGATATTCTTTTGCAATTGATGGGGAATTAAATGCTTTCCTTTCCTAATTAATGTCTACAGAGTAAGATACATTTTAATGTATGGTGTTTTCAATTTTATTTTATTTATTTATGTTTTTCCTGGAGTCTTTTTTTCTGATTTAATACAAAGTTATCGTAAAAAATGGTGTCCAGGGCTCCAGACTAACATTTGAGAGTAGGGCTGGGTTTTGACACAAATTTCACGATTCGATTCGATTCTCAAACATATGGCGCTTTTCCACTGCGTGGTACGGCTCGGTTTGCGTTTCCACTTGGTCTGGGTTTTGACACAAATTTCACGATTCGATTCGATTCTCATTCACAAGCTTGCGATTTGATTAGATTCAATATCGATTATTTTGGATATATATCAGGTACAGTACATGCCAAATTTTCTCAAGGAAAAACAATCTCAACTAATGCTGTAAAATATACATGAGAGCCAGTTAGTATTCGCTAAATTACTATAATATTGAAGGTTAAAACTGATTTGTAGGCTACACAACTGCTAAAAAAATGTTATTTTTAAAATAATACAGTTATAATTACATAATAATATTTCTACTTCAATTCGTTTTTGTTATAGGCTATAAACATTTAAATGGTGGCTGTCATAAAACTTGATGGATTTATTCAAACATAAATTAAACACTGAAGAACAGTAAAAATTATAAGGAGAATGTTATATGGTGCATATATTTAGTAACATGCCCCTCTCTACAGTTTATTTTTCTATCTGACTAATGAGTTTATGGTCACCGAATATGTTTTTCTGAGGTAAATGTGACGTTACGTGACATTGTTTACAAGCCGTTATATTGACATCTTTGCGCTGCTGAAACACTGATTGAGCGATTACATGGGACAGGATGATACATATTGATATTGAATTATTGTCCAGCCCTATTATACACCTTATGAGAGTCCTCAGAATGAAGATGAATATCTTAACAGGTTGGCTTGTGTTATGTCCTTTATTCAAGATAATGCTACCACATGCTTTTTTATTGTGGGTGATATGAATGCGGATGTTTCTGATGGTAGCTCCTTATTTGCCAATCGTTTAATTCAGTTTTGCTCTGATAATGGTCTGGTCCTCTCCAGTAAAGAACATTTACCTGCTAAAAGTTACACGTATATCAGTGATGCATGGCATACAACCTCATGGTTAGATCATTGCATCTGCACAACTGATGCACATGATTCCTTAGAGTCCATGAGAATTAATTATGAGTTTGCCACTACTGATCATGTGCCTTTTTCTATGTCTATAAATCTGGGCAATTTACCTACACTTTTGTCTATGAGTAACAACATGCAGGTAGGGAAATTAGATTGGTCTAATTTGACTGAGGAGGAACTTAAAGTATATTGTCTTAAGTCTGACATGTTGTTGAGTAATATTGATTTACCTAAAGACGCGGCTATATGCTGTGATATTAATTGTAAGAACCCGCAACATGGTATTGAGTTATGTCTCTTGTATGATAACATTGTGGAGTCTCTTCTTACCTCAAGCAGGTCTCTGCTCTTGTCAAGAGAAAAAGTGACAGAAGCAGCAGTTGTGAGTGGGGTGGCCAACCCTAGCCCCGCCCCTGTGTTAATTGTGTTAAATAGTTTTAACGCGTTAAACTGAAAAAATTAATCGCCTGCGATTCGGGACAATACGATATTACAATTAAAACACTGAAGAAATATTGTATGATTATTCCTTTAAAATTAGGTTATAATAATTTTAGTAGTAGTAGAAGCCTATTACATACATTTTACGGAACAATAGTAATATATTTCTGCTGCAATGCCTTCAAGTTAAACCGAACTTTTATTTTGACGGGTTGCCGTGAATACCTTTACATTTCTGTATATTCGGGGCGGAACTCTGCTGTGCGTGATACAGAGAGCGCGACCATAACGTAGAGAC